TTCCTGTAAACCTCTTTGAAGTAAAGATAATTAAAATGTAAGGAATTTGAATTTGTATGGCCTGGTTTTTGACAGAATAACTGATTAACAAGAAATTATTTTTATACAAACATGAAAACATGTTATTGTAAACTTTATTGTAAAGATACAGACCAGGAAATTTATTTTCTCCTTTAGATTAACCAAATTCAGAAGTGGTATATTCATATTAAAGTCATATAAGGGAAAGCACTAATTTGAGAAAGAAGTAATAAAGTTAGATTACATAAAGGAACTTAGAACTATTATCATAGTATTTTTGTGCTTTATGAAGATTTTTTTTTGCTTTATGAAGATAATATTTGAAGTAGTTCTCTAAAATTTGGCTATTAACCAAAAGGTTAATTGATTCTTTTCTTCTGCTCCATTGTGGTTAACATACTAATTCTTCTTATTAAAGACCCATTTTATTATGCAAATGAAAAAATCACAAGATGTCATGTCTAAGAGACTGTTGTTTTTTGCCCAGAGTCTCAGGCACCTGCTTCAGATCTCCACCCCCACCTCTGCTTCCAGTGGCTGCCATGCTAGAGGCTTAGTGATCAGGTTTAGCGGGTGTGGGGTCCTTGAATTCTGGCCCACATTTTCTTTGTGATTATACTCTTGTTTTGCCTTATGATGTTTCTCCTTCCAGCTCTCAGCATGCCAACAGCAGCTGCATCATGGCACTCACTCTGCTGCCAAGAGGGCAGGCAGCCTCCTTGGAGACTGTAATGCTGCACTCCAGCCAACTGTTAAGGAGATGCTGGAGTAATACATGCAGCCAGCTGGAATTCAGATCATTCTAGAAAGCATTTGCTAGAACACTTTGTCCATGTTATTGATAAACTAAGTAACTTAAAAAATGTATTACCTTTTGTTTATGAAAACTTTCAAACTTAGGCAAAGACAGAAAGAATACTGTAGAATGTCCTCACCCATAGGGAGGGAATGTCCAGTTCTCAGGCTCCTCAAACACATAAAGTACATGACCTGACTGAAATATATGCTTCTTTAATGCTGTGGCTGCCTGTGGCTGGCTGTCTGTATTGATAATTTTGTATGGACTGTGAATGATGTTATAAATATTCAGATGGCCTTTGGCAGAAAAAGATTTTTCTACCCCTGCATGTCTGAAATATGTAGCCTTTAAGAACACATTGGGCTTGATTCTGTTTCATCACTGATAAGCAATTGAACTAGAACAACTTCTTTAACTTGCTGTGCCTCATTATCACTGGTCATTAAGTGGGGGCACACTTACCAGGGCTGTTCTAAGACTTAGTGAGTGGATACATTGAAACAACTTAGGTATAGCCTGGCACAGGGGAAGTGTTCATCATGTTAGTGGCTATCTTTATCATGATCAGCAGCAGCAGCAGCATCTTTTGTCCCTCATCACTCATTTTTCAAAATAGAGGGCTGAGCCCCAGATGAGTGAAGCAACTGCCTTTGGGTCAGATAGCAGTTTTATCAGGAGAACCTGAACAAGAAACCACATGTTTCAGATCCTTTATTGTACAGGATATGTCCTCAAGGAATAATGCTCTGGCAGATAAGAAAGATTTGTAAAGGAAAGGAAAGAGGATTAACAAAAACATTAACAAAAGAATAAATATTGCTGCTAGAGAGATAAGCCTTAAAAATTGTGTGTTTAGAAAGCAAAACATTATGGATAATATACCTCATCTTTAAAGAAGGGAATGATTTGGTCATGAAAACTGGATAGCATTCTGTGCATAAGCAAAAAGAATTTTGCATACAGGATTTTAGTAACTGATGTGGGGAAGATTTGTTCCTGAGATTAAGATGAAAGACAAGAAAAAGATTATTTGAACATCAGTGAATGTCAAACACAAAAGGGATTCTAGACTTCTCTAAAGCCAAGTAGTATCTGATATTTCTAAAGTTTTAATTCACTTCCTTCACTATTCTTGTCTGTAAATATTACTTCATTTCATCCTCATAACCATCCCATGAAGTAGATACTATCATAGCTCTTATAATTCAGCTAAAGATACTAAGGCATGAGAAATTAAATAACCCAGACTATTTGTTTATTAAGAACTGGGAGACCTAAGATTTGCACCCTATCCTTGTGACTAGAATTTTGCCTGTTCCATCTCCCTGACAAGTAACCTTAAGGTTGGTACGCTGCACCTAAATGTTGCTTCCTTTTCAGTTTTCCTATAGCAGCCAGCTCATAGAAACACTATTTACTTAGGTCACACTGAGTTTGAGCACAAGGCCTTCTGCATGGTAGATAAGCACTTTACCACTTGATGTACCCAGAGCCCTTTTTGCTTTGGTCATTTTTCAAATGGGTTTTATGTTGTTGTTGTTGTTGTTTTTCCCTAGGCCTTGCCTCAGACCTCAGTCTTCCTACCTATGCTTCCTGAATAGCTGGGATTACTGGCATGCTACTACACTTGGCATATTGTTTGTTCTTGTTAACTTTTTCTAGCCTCAAATCTTGATCCTCCTGTTCTGTGACTCTGGAGTAGTTAGGAGCCATCCTACTGCCTAACAGCTCCACTTGATGACTGCTAGGTACCTCAGGTCTTGAACACTGAATTCCTTCTTAATTTTTTTATTCTTTTTTTTTTTTTTTTGGTTGGTCATCGGGGCTGAACTCTGGGCCTGGGCCCTTCCACTTAAGCCACAGTGTCACTTACAGCTTTTTTCTTCTTATGTGGTACTCAGGAATCGAACCCAGGGCCTCATGCATGCAAGGCAAGCACTCTACCACTGAGCCACCTTCCCAGCTCCTTTATTATCTTTACATACTTATACAAAGGAGTTTCAATTCAGCTTGCTTATGTTTATGAGTACAGTATACCTTGACCATCAGTGAACCATCTTTCTGCTCACACTTGTTCTCTTGGCCCTCTTTCTCATCCCTATGAATGCTGACTCTATCCTTTTTATTGCTTAGGCCAAGTACTTTAAACTTATCCTCAACTATGCTATTGTTCATGTATACTACCATTTAGTCCATCAGCAAACCATATTGGTTTATTGTTGAACTCTATATAAGATTTAACCATTTCCTCTTTCACTTTTTCTTTCATAACCCTAATCAAATCACAATCATCTCTGTCCTTAGCATCTTCCTGCCTCCTTTTCTGGTCGCCTATCCCACTGTCTACTCTTAACACAATGACTAGAAAGATGGTAGAAATCAGACAGAATATATCTCCTCAGAAATAATATGTTCTTTAAGGTTTTTTTATCTAGTATGCAGCAATATCAATCAATCTTATACACATAATATTTGTTGAAAGAAGCAAATCACTTCATACGTCCTAGGAAGAAACCTGAAGTAACCACAGTATTCTAGGGACTATGCAATGAATAATGTATTTTTAAGCATATACACAGAACTGTGTTTTTGTACACTTAACATCTATGCATAATCTTTGCTCTTTCTTCATCTGAGTAATGGTTAGACATATATGTTTAGTTTCTGTATGAATTTTGCACTTCACTAAAATGTTTCACAAAAAAATGTTATTTCTCTTATGGGAACTTATAGCCATTAGAATATAAACTCTGAGCAGGCTTGTCTGTTTTCATCCATTCAATAAACATGTATTGAGCTCTAGGACCTATCTAAGTATTTACGGTAAACTTTCTGAAGGGTGATAACAATAAATCACATAGAATAGGGCAAGTTGCTAATGGTCTGTGGAGAGGCAGAAAGCAAGAGGGGAAGATGAGTGCACAGTGAACAGGTGAGGGAAGAGTATGCGGCGTTAAATAAGATGGTCAGGAAATGGGCCAGTACTTGGAAGAAACTGAAGGAAGTTGCTCTTTGTATGTCTAAGATAAGAACTTCCCATGCAGAGGGAAAGAGAAGCAAGAGTCTTTGGCAGAAATAGGCTGGGAGTGAAGTAGCCTCAAGGAGGAGGCAGTAGGAATGGAGAAGAATGAAGGAGAACAGGTTTTTTGGGGATAAAGATAGGAAAGTACCAGGGCCAGGTCTGGAAGGGCTTGGTAGGTTGCTATAAAGAAGGGGAGTAAGGATTATTGGAGTTTTGTTGAAAGAGGATCTTACTATGAAGCTCAGGCTATCTTAGAACTCAAGATCCTTCTGCCTCTGTCATCAGATTGCTGGGATTACAGGTTTGAACCACCACACTCCACTTTTTTTTTTTTTTAATCATTTTGAGTTAGAGCTCAGCTACTTGTAATGAGAGCTCATTCATTTTCATGAGTATAAAGAAACTTTCATTTATTGGTCATTCTGCTACTGATGGGTATTTCAAAAGTTCCCAATATAGGACTTTTTGATGAGACCTGTGTAATGAACACCCTTGTACATCTTTTAATAAATAATGTTTACAGGAGATATCAGTTTGAAAGGAATTGAACAAGTATAGCAGTTCTTTTTTGCATATTTGTGACATGTTAGATCATGTAAAAGTCGATCTTTATCATCATGGTATACACTAGAGATAAAATATCAAGTAATTAGGATAAAGCAGGAAAGCCTTAAAGGTAGGGAATTAAAGATGTATCAGTTACATTGGAACCTGGTGTCCAGTTAGAGATCAAACCTATGTTTGATCAAGAACACATACAGGAAACATTAGGAAACAGAAGCAAGCAAAATCACTTGGAACAGTCTACAGTGTTGCTGGACATTCAGCAGAACCCCAAAGCAACCACAGGATTTGGAAAAGCAGAGTCAAGTTTTGTAGACATTATCTGGCTAGGAAAATAGCAAGACTGCCAGTTTGTATATAAGGGAGGTATGGATGGCCAATCTGAGGAAGAAGGGGTGTTTAGAATTCATATAAATCCTGGCAGAGTTTTGGATGTATGTATCTCGCAAACGCATGAATAGTTTACATTCAAATCTGGAAGTATTTCTGTATTCCACACTAATCAATCTTTGTGATACATTGATGCCACATTTACCACTGCTAAACCTTGCAGCTCATATGGTCTAAATGTTTTAAATGTATATGTATTTTTAGACCAGCAAAGAAAACTCATCCAGTATGACTGTAGCAAGCCCTGAGATGGAAAATAAGGCAGGCCAGATGCTGGAGAACAGCTCACTGATGGCAGAGCTCCTGAGCGACGTACCCTTCACCTTGGCCCCTCATGTGCTGGCAGTGCAGGGCACCATCAGCGACCTTCCTGACCACTTACTCTCCTATGATGTCAGCGAGAACCTGTCACGATTTTGGTATGATTTCACTCTTGAAAACTCAGTGCTCTGTGATTCGTAATCTTCATGTCTGTTTGTACCTAAGCTTTAAAAAAACAAAAAAAAAATTACCTATTTTATTGAACCTGTTTGATGTTCTTGACAGTTCACTCTTTAAAGGCCTACAGACAAGCAAGGATCATAAAGCCAATAAAATAGCATTATTTTCAAAGCCAACTTGTACAAAATTTAACTTCAGTTCTATTTCTGTCCCCCCATGTAATAAATATAAAAATGAAGCTATCAAGGTTTTATGAGAAGAATAGGTTGTTACAGCTGCTCTCTCAAAGTACTGTGAATGTGACTTGAAGCTTTTGCCTGGGTTATCACAACTTAGCCTGAGCTTAGAATGAATGGTAAGTCTTTTCTGATTTTGAAAAAAGTCGAGTCTGTTATTACATTTTTTTCTGCCATAGTGTCTATGAATGAGTTCAGAAAAAGTTTCCCTTTACTTCCTTCAGTCCCAAAGTTGACAAAGTGATGTGGAAACTTAAAACCTGTCCTAAACACAGTTACAATGTGCCAGCATAGGACTGCTCTAAATCATTTGCAGGCTGTTTGTTGAGTGGCACATTTCCATTTTCTTAGACCCAGAGCAGCCCTTCCCACCTGTGTGATTCTGGCCTTCTTATTCTCTGACTTTCCTCCCCTTCCCAGCATGCTTTCTCACCATCCTTCCAAAGAACTTTGCTTCTGCCTCAGTTGGCATCTGCTCTCCTTACCACATGTTTCTAGTTTGTGGAGGAGCCACATTTCCTTTCAACCTCTCAGCCTCCTAAAGGAAAACATCTCAGAATGACACTTATTATTGCTGATAACACCATTATCTAGAAATTTTTTGGCCACAATACAGGTGGAAAGATTTTACTATTATACATACTCAACTCATTTCCAATTAAAGTGTAGGCAAAACACCTAGGTAAGACTTTTAGTTTTTATTTATTCCAAGTAAAACTGAGAGCTGCCATTGGTCAGTAAGCTTAAAGGGAAGATTGGCATATTGTGATAGGGAATTTTCTATGCCATGGAAAATAAAAGTTGCATTTATTTAATTAGTAGAATATGATTTGCTGATTTGGTGCCAAACTTGTAAGCATATTTTTTCATAAAGAGAAAGTGCCATAACAAAACTAAACATTGTGTATATAGGTACATGAATTTTAATATGTTATACATGCTTGTTTAATAAATGTTGTATGGTCTTAATAAAAATACTATATTATGTAAAGTTAAAGGAATATTTCTATTGACAAAAATAGACTTCATTTCAAATTAATGGTTAAATTAATTCTGATAATAGTTTTCATAAAATATCAGTATAGGGAATATGACTTATCACTGACACAAATGTGCTCTGTATTGTGAAGATACACCTTCTAATATTCATGTTAATGTATTTTTAAAACAATGTGAGCAACATAGTCAACTTGTCTAGAATATGTTAAATTTTCTCTAAACTAATTACACATTTTATTTATATTTATTTCTACCATGTTTATAAGTACTTATAAATATTTGTTTACAAAATTGTTCTATTTAAATAAATGTGAATTAAAATAAATATTTTGATTATTTTAAGATTCATAAAAATGGTTTTCTTTGCATTATTTATGTCTGAATGCAAGTATAGATTCTGTAGGAGGCAAATAGTTAAGGCATGCCCAATGCTGTAGTGAGAGAAAAGAATTCTATATATAAATTTTAAAGAAAAATATTGGAAGTAGTAAGGTCACTAGTCTTTACTTAATCAAACTAGAACAATTCAAGGGAAAAAAAATCATGAACATCTAGAATGATCCACATCATCAAAAAACTTGGTAAGACTATTACTAATGACTTATTTTTTACAAAAATAACTGTGATATGTTCACTTAAATGATCTTATCCTGTATGAAAATCATTAATACTTGAAACCCAAAAGAAACATTAAATATCCAACAACTCCCTTTACCCAAGGAAAAAGTAAAGCCTAGAAATGTTAAGTGATTTAATGAAGCATCTCGTTAGTCAGGTGCTAGTGGCTCATGCAGCTGAGGATATACACAGCCTTCTAAGACATTGCAAAGGACCTCTACTAATCATATGGCTTACAAATGTATAAAAAAAAAAGCTACCTATATTATTTGTAGATTCTCTGTATCCCAGTTTTTTTTTTTAATCAAAAATAGTTCTGAAGTATGCTAGTTGGTCTTCCTTTAGGTAAAAATGTTGTAGTGAACCATTTTTTTTCTCATCAGGATTTTCGTTGCTTTCCTTTTGGAGGGGAGGGGAAGTGTTAGGACTTGACCTCAAGGCATGATACTTGCTAGGCAAGTGCTATACCACTTAAGCCATACTCACAGCACTTTTGTTTTCACTTGTTTTTCAGACAGTCTTGATCTTTTGCCTGGCCTAGCCTCATGTTGTAAAAATTCTTCTATCTCCACCTCTGGAATAACTGAGATTATAAGTATTCCATCATGACTGGCAGTTTTTGTTTCTGCTTTTGTTGTTATTGTTGATGATTGGTTAAGTTTTGGTTTTGGTTTTTTTGAGACAGAGTCTTACTATGTGGTTCCAGTTGACTTGGAACTCACTGTGGAGCCATGATGGCCTTGAACTTGAAATCCGCCTCAGCCTCCTGTGTTATGCCATTACAGATTTACAGCACCCTGCCCAACTCTAAACTATTTGTAATGCTAATATGTATTCAGGAAATTATATGTGTTTGCTTATTTTTCAACTTTCTATAAGGGCTTTTGCATTATTTCCTAAAAATAGAATTATAGAAACAAAATTCAGGACAATTTGTTATTTGGTTGATGATATTAACTTTTAAAATTATACCATTAAAATTTTAAGCAAAACACAATTGTTATTACCAATTCTAGAAACACACACTAGTTCTTTTAAGTAAACATTATTGACACCGGTACTCTTTTATACTCCTGCAAATAAAATAACAACTTGTAAACAACAGGAAAAAAATTATATATTTCCCAAAGACTTTTTTTTTTTTTTTGGTCCGGTCGTGGGGCTTGCACTCTGGGCCTGGGCGCTGTCCCTCAGCTCTTCAGCTCAAGGCTAGCGCTCTACCACTTGAGCCATAGCGCCACTTCCGGCTTTTTTCTTTTTGCTTATATGGTGCTGAGGAATCGAACCCAGGGCCTCAGGCATGCAAGGCAAGCGCTCTACCACTGAGCCACCTTCCCAGCCCTCCCAAAGACTTTTAAGGGAATAATTTCACTCATGTTCTGAAAGTGTGTTATATCAGGCTTCATCATCTTTCCTTCTGTGATTACAATTGATCAGTAAGTGAACACTGCTAGCAGTAATCTAACACTGCATATGTCACTTTCAGAAATGAATGCATTACCTATTAATCATGTCCTCAATAATAGTAACATATATATGTATTCAGTAGATGAAGCTACTGAGACATTTGGGTTTGTAGATAGTATGTTTGGCATATGTAGCATATTACTGAGGGCATGACCTAAATATATTGGGAAATCTAAGACTCTCAGAGTAGATCTGGCTACATTAGCTTTACAGATGAAATATTCTTATGTTTCAAGAAAATGATTCATTGTGCCATATGGTTTGGTGGATAGATGCGTGTAAGTAAGAGAAAAAGAGAGATGTATTGATTGATGCATAGGAACTCAGTTACAATCAATATAGCAATAGGTTAATCATCTGTTGTTAATTGAAGAGACCTTTTTTACTTTAGAATAGTGTGGGCTTACAGAAAACTTAAGAATGTGGAGATTTCCCTCACCAGTTTTTCCTTCTTTGTCACAGGAGTCAACATTGGTACATTTTAACTGACAACATTGCTACTTTTAACTGAACTCCATACTCTGTTCAGATTTCATAGTTAACCCTCTATTATCATTTTTTCTCTTCTAATGTCCTATCCAGTATTATATTTAGTCATCTTATTTCTTTAGATTCTCTTGTTTAATGACTGTTTCTCCCAGACCGTTTTTTTTTTTTTTTTAGGGTCCTGATATTTTTGTGGAATAATAGTCAGGCATCGATAGATTGACCCTTAGATTCCTCCACCCACCCTCTGCACCCCAGTCCTGGATCTTGAACTCTGGGCCTGTCCCTGAACTTCTTTTGTTCAAGGCTAGGGCTCTACCACTTGAGCCACAGTGACACATCTGGCTTTTTCTGAGTAGTTTATTGGAGAAGAGTGCCATGGATTTTCCTGCCTTGGGCTGGCTTTGAACTGCAATCCTCAGATCTCAGCCTCCTGAGTAGCTAAGATTACAGTTGTGAGCCACCAGCACCTGGTGTTTTTGTTTTTTATTTTGTTTTTAACCTGGTTAAAATGGAGTTGTGGGGTTTGTGAACAAATTATAGAGGTTAAGATTTCTTTTATGAAATCATATCATATCAAGAGTTTATGCTAGCCACACTCCAGTGGCTTTTGCCCCTATAATTCTGGCTACTCGGGAGGCTGAGGCCAGTGAATTACAGATTGAAGCCAGTCCAGCCAGGCAAATCTGAAGTACTCTTATCTCCAATTAACCAGCAAAATCCAGAAGGGGAGGTATGAGTCAAGTGGTAGAGTTGCCAACCAGATGTGAAATTCTGTTTGAAAGCCCGCGGCCTAGAGTTCAAGTCCCAGTTCCAGAACATACACACACAAAAAGAATACATGCTAGAGCTAGATTTAGTGGCTTACACCTACTCCAAACTATTTTGGAGGCAGAGCTCAAGAAGGTCAAACTTTGAGGCCAGAGCTAAAAGTTAGGTGAGACCCATTTCATCAAGTAAACTGGACATGGTAGAACATATCTAATCTCAACTACACTGGAGGCATAAACTGGAAGATCATAGTCCAGGATGGCCTGGGAGGGTGAAGCCCTATTCAAAAAATATCTAAAGCAACAAAGGGTTGGGTGGCTTAAGTGATAGAGGGCCTGCCTAGCCAATACAAGGCCTTAAAATTAACCCTCATACTGTCATGTTTCTCTGCTATGAAGTCATTTCTTCCAGCCCTCTTTTTTTTTTTCTTTCAAACTCTACTCTTTGGAATTAATTCTCAAAGTACAACTCATACTTTCAGGATAGAAAATTAAACTCTACCTCCTTGTATCACAGAAATTATTTGGGAACCTTTTACATAGATAACATGTCTATTGCCCCAATCATACATTAGCATCAATTTAAATATTTAACCTTTTAACAAGTTTAAATCAGTGACAAAGGCCTAAATACATTTTTATAAAAGTTAAGAAAAATTTGAAACATTTTACATAATTTGATGTTAGATATGTATGATGTTAGGTTGGAGGTGATGTTACATTCAGTAGTTTTACCAGAACTCATCATTCTGTAAATAGCATATATATATATATATATATATATATATTTCTTCTTTAACTTATATGACTATAGCTGCATAATCATGAGTCCTATCACAACATTTTGGCCAATAAAAGACCACATATCTATATGGTGAGCCTATAAGATTATAATGGAACTGAAAAATGTCTATTGCATAGCATTTTATTGTTGTTGTTGTTGTCAAGGTGATGTACAGTTACATAAGTAAGGTAGTGATTACATTTCTTGTTACCCCTTCCCTCATTTTTCTCCCTCTTTCCCTCCCTTCCAACTCGCCCTCCAAGTTGTACAGATCATTTCCGACATATTGTCTTGTGAGTATCACTGTCGCATAGGTTCTGCCTTTGTCCCTTGTCACACCATTTTGTTGTTCCCCTTTCCTTCCCTAGTTCAGATAAATGTATATACAATACCCAGGGTACCAAAATCGAATACAGTTACAACAGGGGATAAACCATAGAGGGGAGGGAAAAAAAGAAAAAAAAGAAATCAAGTAGTACATTGAAAACAGAAACAACAAGGAAAACCTCTTATGTCCATGTCTTGGAATTCGTTTCACTTAGCATCATCTTAAATGCTCATATGTACATAGCTATTGAGCTATTCTGTTCATCTTCTAAGATTATCCTAGATGTATACTAATTATTACAAATAAAGGAGACCATGGGATCTATATTTCTTTGGGTCTGGCTTACATCACTTAATATGGTTTTTTCCAAGTCCTTCCATTTCCATGCAAATGGGTGATGTCATTGTTTCTGATGGAAAGATAGAATTCATATGTGTGTGTGTGTGTGTGTGTGTGTGTGTGTGTGTGTGTGTGTACACACATATATATCACATTTCTTAATCCCTTCATCTACTGAGGGACATCTGGGTTGGTTCCATATCTTAGGGTAAATAATGCTGTGATAAACATAGTAGTGCCCATAGTTTTAATGTGGCCTTGTTTATGGTCATTTGTATAAATGCCCAAAAGTGGGATTGCTGGGTCATAGGGGAGCTCTATGTGTAGTCTTTTGAGGAGCCTCATACTGCTTTCCAGAGTAATTGAACAAGTTTACATTCCCACCAACAGTGCAATAGCATTCCTTTTTGGCCACCTCCCTGCCAGGATCCATTATTATTAGTTTTCTTGATAATAGCCATTCTAACTGGGGTGAGGTGGAATCTCAATGTTGTTTTGA